TTTTTTTTGGTACTGGGGATCAAACTTGGGACCTTGCACTTGTGAGGCAGGTGGTGGGGCAGGTGGTGGAACCACTGAGCTAAATCCCTGGTGCAGGACCTCCAGGATTCTAATTTTATGAAAACACACAAGCATAGGAAAACATAATAAAATTGTGATATACAGGGGAGAGAATATGTTGATAGCTCATTAACACTTTATTTTGAAGGTTTAGTTTTTGCTTTTTGTTATTGCAATGTTAGTATTTGCTTTGACAAATAATTTTATTACATGTGCATACACAATTTTATGATGAATGCATAATAGACACACATATACATATCATCCTATATATAAGGATCCCTGAGTTTTGGTCACTATTATATCAAAATTGGATATTATGCACAAATTTGTGCATCTTTGTCTGCTCCATAAATTTCATGTAGTACTTCAGCTGATAAAGTGCTAAGTCATTTTTAATGGCTGCATAATATTCTGTCTTCTTTTTTTTAATGATGGTACTGGGGGTTGAACCCAGGACCTTTGGACTGAACTACATTTCCAGCCTTTTTTTGTTTTGTTTTTTTGAGACAAGGTCTCACTAAGCTGCTAAGTTGCCCAGGTTGGGCTTGTACTTTTGCTCCTTCTACCTCACTCTCTCAGAGTACTGGTTTGAGACAGGGGCTTACTATGCTGGCTTTGAAGTTGCAATTCTGCCTCAGTGAGATTTAAAATTCATTTTAATTTTTACTTCAATTCATCTGGTTCATTTTTTAAAATGTGTGCTGTAAATTTGGTATCTAATTTTACTTAATTTTTCCAACTGTGCCAGCTTTATTTTCCTTTTGGTTGACTACTGGGGACTGAACCCAGGGCCTTCACTAAGTTGCTAAGTTGCCCTGGCTGAGCTGGAATTTTTGATCATCCTGCCTCAGCTTCCTAGAGAACTGGGATTACAAGCATGTACCACCACACCTGGCTCTTCCATTCTCTTTTTTTAAACAACTACTGGCTATTCTTGAGCACTTTTCTTTTCAGTCAATTTATAACTTTGGCTGGGGGATGTAACTCAATGGTAGAGTGTGTGTTTAGCAGTTGGGAGGACCTAGGATCAAACCCTAGCACCCTCCTCTCTCTGGTTTTGCCTGCAAAAAAGAGGCACAGATTTTTTTTTTTATTTGGTAC